CAGCCCCACGGGAACTATGAATGTTGTGTATTTTAAATTGTTGTTTGTCTATTTGTCTACTTATCCCCTTCCTTTGTTTATTTTAAGCCACCCAGGGTCCTTCGGGAGTGGGCAGCATACAAGACCAATAAAATACAAATACAAGTAAAAAAATGTCCTGAAACGTAGCCAGGGACAACTCCTTTTGTACTGTTCCTTAGACAACTTCATGGATATATTTGCATACATTCACAAGGAGTCAAGACTTTACCTTTCAGTTTGTTTTAGCAAGATTTTCAGTATCAGGTGTATAAAAACATTGCATTTTGCCTGCCATAATTGCATTAGAAAATATCTTATTATTCACCAATGCAGGAGCCAAGTAAAAGTTAATGTGGAATTTACTAGCTGTTTCCTGTATCCTGCTGAAGCTGTACTATTGCTTGTTTCAAAAGCTTTAACCCCAGGAGGCTTTACAATGGCTATTTCTTTGAAGACAAAAATTAACTCCGTCAAACTTAGTGTAAGTATCATTTATTTTAGGAGGAAATCTATAAATATGTAGTTTATTATAAATTAGTCCATCTTTAACATTCAATAAAATTAAGAGTTACAGTTCAAACATAAAAGGAAGAAATTCACTTATGCATGTAAAAAAAAAATTTAATTTATAGATTGACACCTGGAAAGAGGAAGAGGATACCTGGCAAAGAAGACTATTTGATCAATAACATATTCTTTCAAATTATTAATTCCTTCTTCCCAACTTCTTGCGGATTAAGATAGTTCATTCCTGTAACCAGCAAAGAACATATAATAGCCTTGTACTATTTTCCTGTGTCTCTTTTTTTTTAATGCATAGTTTTCTTAAATTTATATTTGGACACATTTAAGAATTTTATTAGAAATATATTTCAAATGATCATTGTGCAGTAAAATTTAAAAATCAGGAAAATGAAATTTAAGCTCTTTGTAAATCACTCTAAAATTTATTAGTTTTTTTTTTAAGCAACTCAAGGCAGCAAACAGACATAATTGTCAAGGTTCCAAGTAACACCCCGAGTTTCCCCATTTTATTAGAGATGTCATATTGGCACATCTGGGAAAACCCAAACCTGAAAGTTTCCAGGTTTTCCCCACCAAAAAGAAAGTTCAGGTTCCTGCCCAGCACCAGTGGTGGGTTTCAAAGTTTTTTGGAACCTCTTCTGTAGGTGTGGCCTGCTTTGTAGGAGTGGCTTGCCACCCATGTGACCGGGTGGGAGTGGCTTGCTGCTCATGTATCCGGGTGGGAGTGGCTTGCTGCCCATGTGACTGGGTGGGAGTGGCTTGCCGCTCATGTGACCAGTTGGGAGTGGCTTGCCACCCATGTGACCATGTGGGAGTGGCTTGCCACCCATGTGACCAT